CTGTCTCATTGTCCCTCCACCTTCTGATCCCCACACACATGTTCAAGGACTTGTCACTGGATGCTGTTGTGGGGGGAAGTGGATTCTGTCCTCTCCATTATCCACCCACCCTGCAATGGCTCTGGCGTTTTTTTGGGTACAACAGACCAGTTTTGTATAGAGTACAATGGCAATTATGTGAACCTGACAGCCCAAAATATTTCTAATGCAAACTCCGCAGCTTTCTCACACTCGCAAAAATGTCCCTTTTATATTACCAGCTTTGATTATCCCAGTATAATCAATGTCCCAGAAGTGTGCAGCTGAATGGGCTTGTACTGCATTAGAATATTGATTAGAATTAGTATTAGAATATACTCTTTCAAAAGGCAAAGGAAAAAACAATTTCTTGAGATAAATATATATGAAATTAGAAAAATGTTAAATGAGTTTTTGTTGCCGACAAGGAGAAAAGCAGGTTTATTCTGACTGCAAGATGTTCTGTTCTAAATCCAAGTTGCTGGCATTTTTCACAGGGATTCTCTCTTCAGCCTTCTCATCACAAGCATGCAGCACTGCATATTATAGTCCAGTGGCTTTTTTTAATTTTTTTTTTTTCATTTTCTTTGAACCAGTTTTAAAATAAAGATGGATTAGCATTTCACATAATCAAATTGCTGCATGCAAGTTTATGTAGCAAGCAGGCTGGAAGAGCTGCAGCTATTTCACTTGTTCTGTTCTGTCACATCATGTAATATTTAAAGCCTATAATTAAGTTTTTACTCGAACTGTTGGAAGGCAAATACTGCCCCCAAGGGCATAAAAGTTCCTGTATGCAAAGGTTTCATCACAAACTGGCATATTTTGCAAACCAAAGGGGATCAAAAAGAAGCTTCAAATGCTGTGAAGCCAAATAAAAGAGAAAGACAGTGGTTCCTTGAATAAAATGTTTTACCACCCCTAACCACCTATTTTCTCTGTGGTATTATGACTAGAATTCTACAATAAACTTAATGCTTATATGATGGTGCAGTAATGGGATTAATATTAATTCAATTTCTACCAAAGTTCTTGAATACTTCCCAATTTCAAATAATGTAGAATTTCAGTAACTAAATGTTCCCTAGTGAGGAGATATAAAAGACTGCAATCAGATACAAGTTTTTTATTTCTCCTTCAAGAAAGGCACAGTAGGTTACCTTCCTGTCACTCATGAGGATTATGTTCTTAAAGATCTCTATGGGAAAATACATGCATTTGTTCACAAAGTTATGTTCTCTCATATAATGTGGTGTTTTGAAAATGTGATTTTCTCTAAAGTTTTTTATAAGGGCTAAGGTAGGAAACATAAAGCTTGGATAATGCATTTTACACCATTACTGAATTTTAGTCACAATTTTGCTACTTTTGCTCAGATACCTCTCACTGGATTGAAATAAAAGAAATCTGGTTTTAATGTTATTTGCTGAAAAAATCAAACTCAGCAATGCAAACGTATAACCATGAAGCTTTCTGAAAGGAAGTAGCTGGATTTCTTTTATGTCTCTTAACGGTGTTTATTCAGAGCAGCTTTGGTTTGTCCTTTTTGCAGCTGACTTGTTTTATTCAGGGATGCATTCTGCTCCTCAGGTGGGTTCCACAGAAGACTCCTTGGTGAGATGATGTAAGGTGGCCACATCATGGGTGCCTGGGACTGCAGGCTCTGCTGGATCTGCAAGAATTCCTCAGCCCAGTCCTGGTGAGAACTTTCATGTGCCTAAAGCTCTGGAAAACAGCATGTTTAACCTAAGGGAAAGAGAAGACCACACACTTTTCATCCATCCTGCAGCAAGGTCTTGTCTGGCTGTGAGGGAGCAAATTTTGTCAATGATTTATCCTGAGCAGATTTTGGCTGAAAGGGTTTGGGAGTCGGCATACTGCTTGTCTACTTTTGCAAGGACAATTAATTGGGAACTTGAATTCAGTACTTTGTAACACTGCTTGTATAGTGAGCTTAATGACATTGGATGCATTTAGGTATCCATTTTCCTAGGAAAACTATTTTAAAGTGCTTCCTTTTAGAAAGTTTTGGGTAGGCATGGGAAAGTATCTCATATGGAACTGCACTTTAACCAGTGTAACTGATAGACTCACCAGTTTCAGCAGTTCAGAACGGCACTATCCTCAGAACTTACTATTTGCACATTTTCTTCCTCAAAAAATAATGGAAATGTTATACATTTCCTTGCAGCTCACTCTTTCTAAAATAGGGAAAATAGCCTGTAAGACTGTTTTTAATTTTCCACTACCCTCTCACACATCTGTTTCTGTAGCTTTTTCAGGTTATCACCAGCTGCAATACACTGAATTATTCAAATTTCATTACTGAGTTTTCATCCTGGACAGCAGTGTATGTGGAACATCCATGACACCAAAGGGCCAGATTGCCAAAGTTGCTTCTAATCAGCAGCTAATGCTAACATTTTTGAGGCTACAAAAAGAAAATGTTGCTTTAACTTTAGTTCTAAGAAATTTTGCAGGGAAACTGCTTTAATCTGTTTTCATATACACAGTTATTACAAATGTGGACGTTTATACAGGGGTGTGTGTATATATATACACACATATATAATATAGATATATACTATATGTATTACATAAATGTACTTTTTAATATGTATATAAATATGAAAAAACCCTGTCTGCTTCTCCTTAGCTGCTGAAGAGCCACTTTAGAGAACTGATTGTACACAATTTGCTAAAAACAGCCAAGAGATTTTTCAAGTGCCCTTTCCAGACTTGTTATTTTTCATTGTCCAAAGGTAAAAAGCTCATTTATGGGGGGAAAAAAATAAAAATTATCATGTTAGGTGTGATCAGGCCATTTGTGGAGCTGGGCTAAGCTGGGAAAAGTGCCCCTTTCACCCCTGGCAGTGGGTTGAAGCCTGCCTTTCGGCTGTGAGCGAGAGGAGCGGGCCGGTGTCTCCTTGGTCCCGAAGAAGTGGGATTTCATATGTCAAAGAGCCACACTCAGATGAAGGCAATTGGAAGTAACTGCTCAGAAGAAGATGCCCAAGAGTAAGTTGCCATGGAGATGGAAAGGCTAAACACCACTGTACTCCTGACCTCGAAAGAGGCTGATTTCTCCACATGACAGCTGAGGTCGTGGGGGCATGGTGGGAAGCTCATCCTGCCGACTCCAGCTCTGCCTCTAGCCTATGGATAAGTAAAGAATTACTGCTTTACTACTTTAGGTAGTCCATTAACCTTCACAAGCCTGAACTTTCATTCAAATAATTGCAAAATAAGTATAGGTGGTGAAACCTGAACAGAATCACTGCTATTTGTATGCCCTTTAGAAAGTTTAGGGACCCAACCCTTAGTGTGGATCCACTGGTATTTTAAACAGTGAGGATTCTTTCTTAGCTTCTTGCTGTAATTGGAAAAAGTTAAAGTCCAGAATTACCAGCAAAGCCAGAAAATCATTCAGTGACTGGCAGCCAAATGAATGGATGGTCCTTCATCAGCAGTGGGGCTTTGTATTCAGTGGGGAGATTACCTTCTCTTTTTAACTTCTTGCTCTGTGATGAATTCTTTTAGCTACAAATTCATTCCACAGGGTCCATTAGAATAAGCCACTATGTGTCAGCTTTGATAGACCTCACCTGGGAGCAATTGTAAAGACAGAAGGGCGGCGAGCTCCTGCTTCATACCCCAGTAACCCACAGCCTCCCTCTGTGCACATGACTCCCACACATGCAGTAAAACCTGATTTAAGTGCCAGCAGAGAGAGACTGGTAAGTACAGATTGTCTGACAGAATTGATCTTCCACTCGAGGTAAATAACAGGGCTTTTTTTTCAAAACCTCAGCACTACTCCAAAGTGGCGTCTTAAGATACAGCTTATTGTGGGTGAGGTTAGTGGTGCAAGTTCAGGCACAGGTAAATGGCTGGTTGCAGAACCAAAATGACTTCAGAAATAAGTGCTTACTGGTGTTATTTTGAGCAGTAGCTTGTTGTAGACTGTTCTAAATGCCAGAAGCTGTTAAATGTTATTGTGATTTTGTGAAGTGGACCCTGCATTAGGAAGAAATAGCTTTTGTGAAAAGTACCACTTAGGGCTAGAAATATTTTTCAGCAAAAACAACTTAAAGCCTCTTTTAAATTGCAGACAGCTCTATGACAGTAAGTTCAGAGAAATTCTTTGAATTCAGTGAAGTTCTTACAGTACAGGAGATGGGGAAATCTTGAAAAATTAAGGCGGCCACTACAGCTTTTATTCTTATTTTATTTATTACTTTTTATTTTATTTAGGAGGTCAGCCCTCTGAGAGTATATCTCACCAAAGACCTGTCTACATAGATCTTGATCTGCTCCAAAGTCCCAAGTCTTATCTTAAATATCCTCACAGAGTTAGGGTCTTCCTGCTCTATAGTAACAGTACAGTTAATTAGTACTTGGCTCAATACTGAGCTGATTGAGACTTTAATTTTTTATCCTGTTAAAATTATCACCATTGTCTATCTCACTGAGGCCAAAGCAGCAGTACAAAACCCCATGCAATACTTCTGCACTTGGTAAGATGCAGTGGAGTAGCAAAATGGCATAAGAATCCTTGCTGGGCTGCTGAGGTGATGCAGGCTTGCAGTACTTAAAATACACTTGCCTCAGTAGTGTAATAAAAATAAAAGCAAAGCATCCTCATGAAGTAAGAAGCAACCCCACAGAAAATTGAAGTGTCCAGAAATTATGCAAATAGTAACTATGCTGGGAATACTTTGATAACCCTGTTCCCTCGTATCAGAACATGCAGCTGTCATGCTGACAGACTTCAAATAAATTTCTGAAACATTATGGCTACAGGAGAATGTTTCCTGGTGTCAGCATTACCAATAACATTATTGATTCTTTTCCTACAGCTTGAAGGGGAACTTGGCACCATGTTTCTTGGCCTCTCCAAATCTGGATTATGACGGATACCATAAATACATAGATGAAATGCTTTCATCTGAAAGCCCTGTACTATAGGGACTGTAGCCCAGTGCTGAGATGCGATTCTTGTCAACATCAGATAATCTCTTCAAAACTCCTTTGAAAAAGCAACCCGTATATACATGGGAAAGGCCAGTCTGCAGTGAAAGAGGTGAAGTTCTTCATTCAGTGTGATGTCAGTGCTTTTAATGACAGGTGGAATACACATTTTACTGTGTTCTTTCGGCAATACACTTCATTTTGGGTGCTGGAAGGTTGTGGGGGGGTGGGGGGGAAGGCATCAAATTAGAAAAGATCAGATGAGTGTTAATAGTTGTGATAATGCACCAGCCTGGCCAAGAGGTAATGCACTAGGAAGACATTTGGATCAATTTCTTTTTCACAATGAATTTATTGTGGGGTGGGAAACAAGGTATAGATTTGTCTCATTTGTTTGGGGTTTTTTTGTATACTTTTTATAAACAAGTACAGCAAAAATAACTTACTAGAAAAAAGGTGTGTTTGGTTGAATTGGTGGGTCTAGTCTTGACCTCTGTCCTTTGATCCCATCTCCTGGATGATAAAAATCCACAGGGTAGCTTTCCTACACCTTCCCACTTGTGCCAAGCATAGAAAGTCCCTCCTAGCCTGCAGTCCTGACTTTTTCTGCTGCATTCACAGCCCAACCTAGCAGTGGTGTGCAGGCTTTCCATGCCAGGAAGAGCTGCCCAAGTACAGGTTCTCCCACTGCTTCCCTTCCTGGGAACTTTTTCTGAGCAGGAGTCTTGTGGTTGCTCCAAGACTTCCCTTGCAAGAAGTAAGGGAAGAGGTTTTCAGGGAGTTTTAGTTTTTGGGTACTCTGAAGAGGTGAATCATGGCCAGGGAGGGTTTCTGACCATCTCTTAGCCTCAGCACCTCACCACAGAACCTGGAGTCTAGCAGAACAATAACATTAATACTGATAAACTATCAGATGATGGGTTAAACGCACCAACCCTAATACCAGGATAAGCTTTGTCACTTAATATGGAGTTGGCTGGGACATTGCAGTTCCGTTCATAGTCAAGATATGTCAGACACACAGATGCATTAGGATAGCCAAACTCCTTCCAGAAAAATTTAAAAGCATGGGTTTTAAGCATGGAGCATCACCAGTGCTTAAGAGATTAAATTAATAAAGGAGCAGGGAAGGAAAATGTAATCACAAATGTCAGCTAGTTCTGTTTTCAGATTTTGCCATCTTATACATCTTCCTTTCTGAGTGCAGATCTGAGAAACTATGTCCAGATGCCCCAAAGCCTGGCATATGATGAGACTGAGCCTTCAGTTCCTTATCCTCACCAGAGTTAATTAAAGTCCCCTATGACTGCCACTTTGGTTCTGCATTTCTCCATCCCTTTCTTTACTCCCTCCTTTTCCTCTGAGCACTCCTTTTTTTTTTTTTTTTTTTTTTTTTTCCCCTCTTATCACTATCAGATCATGGAGGTTTTGCAGGAGGAAACGTGACAGCTCTGCATGCAAGTAGCCAAACATTGCTTCATCTCCTGGGGGGAGCTTGTGCTTTTCACGCTCAATCCCTATCCACTTTAGGGAGTCTGGACCATAACATATGGCATTCATCATTAAGTCTGCCAAAGCTAGGGCTGAAACAGAGGCTGAGCTGCAGTGATGCTGTGATTTCAATTCCTGCTCATTAGCATTGTTATGAATTGGTCTTCATTTATGTTCTGTCTCACTTCCAGACTAAGCCTGCAGGGAGAGAGGCTCTTTTTGGGGATGAGGCATGTCTGTGCCTGTGCTATGTTTTGCCTAATGCCTGAGACAGCAAGGACTGTGGGTGGTGGAGGGGGTGATGAAAGCTATTAGGTACTAGAGAAATACGAACTACTGATCACATTTGACTGAAAATCAAGACAATTCCAGGGTGTATCCTAGTAACAGCAGTCATCTCAAGTCCAGGACAAAGCATTAGTAGGCTTCCAGGGTCAATGTTACCTGAAAATGTAAAGCTAAATAGAAGCTGCTAAGTGTTAATTGGTTTGCAATCATTCCTCTCAATACTGTTGCCAAGAAGACAGCAAAGGTGATGGAGGGAGCATCTCTGCTTTTTATCTAAGAAAATGAGATATTTGTGCTCCTCTGAAGAAATCAAACACTTGAAAGTAGAAGAGTCAGAAAGAGTTGATTTGCTGGGATTTCTATTTCATCTGTTATATTGTCCTGAAAAGGTTAAGAATGCCCTGGGTGATATTCTGTAAATGCTTCCTGAGAAGCTTAACATAGCAGAAGTCATGCAGGAAGACTATTGCCTGGAGACCCTCTGCTCTAGTTTGCCTCAAAGAGTAAGGTGATGAAACTTTTCCTTTCAGAGATCCATAGGTCTTTTAACAGCTGGACCTCAGTCTGAAGGCAAATTACTTATTTCAGGACTTTTGTGGCTCTTTTGGAAATGAAAGAATAGTTATTCTTTATGTATGCTTTTTATTTTTCTCCAAAGGGGGAGCTGATGTTTTCTGCTCACATGGAAGTGCTGCAATATACACTGTTCTGTGATGTTGTGCCAGACAACATGGACTAAACCAGCATATCCATCCACACTCAGCTTTGTCCGCTGGTAAGTACCCCACAGTCACAGGGTTTAGCTACTATGCAGAGCTATTCCAGTGATTTAAGCCCAGCAGCCTTGTTCCATTCTTATTTCTTCCAAATTTTGTCCTAATGAAAGTCAGTTTTCCCTTGAAGTGGGTTTTGTAGAAACACCAAGCACTTTGCTAAAGCCAAGGCTCCATCACCTCCCTTTGTCCCAAGTACCAGGCGTGTTTAGCATCTTGTGGGGTTCCTTTCTGTTAGCCTGCCACCAGCAGTGGTTAGACATGGAAGAAACAGGCATTGTTTCTGGAAATTCTTCTGATACCTCATGCATTATGCCATTATTCAGAGCCTCTGTCAGAATCCCTTATGTTCCTGATTTGCACTTTGCTCTGGCTTATTGGAAGTTTAAATATTAAATACCAATTAAGATGGTATCAGAGAATTTGCATTTAAGAATGCATCAGCTGTTAGCAAATTCTGTCAGCTTCTTCTCATGGTGATGTTCAGGTTTCTCCCCAAGACAGCAGTTTAAAAGGACACAGCATACTCACATTCTCTGTTGCCAGCAACCCATCCCATGCTGATCACCTTCTACAACTGATTTCAGACATACGTATATGAGGGAAACAACAAATTCCACTGAAACAATCACCTTAGACTTTCGTAAGCTCATACTTTCTGGTGACTTCAGCAATGTACTTTCTCTGTAGACAAAAGGACTCTTTACACTTGGAATCTGTAGTTTGTCTAAAAAAGCAGTTCATATACAGTTAAGGCAGGAGCTACAGATGCTTCTTTCAGAGTTACTGATTTTCTCATGAGGTGCTAAAAATTTAACATTTGGACGCAGGACCTTGTGCTGCCAGCAGTGGTGAGGCTTTCTGGCTTGTTCTATCCTCAGTGCTTTCTGACAGCTCAGCAGTGATGGGTGTAGGCCACCAAGCATACGGTTTCAATGTCAGACATTTCTCTTTAACTACTGGTGTTAGCTATGTTTGTGATGCTGTTAATCGCAGCTTAAATAAAAATATTTAAATCACCTTAACATTAGAATAATCCTTTCCTGAATGCAGGGGGAACAATCCTAATTTGTCTTCGGGCTACTTAGAAGTGTGAAGACAAAGCAGCTAAGGAAATAAGAGCTTGATTTTGTAGTTTAAAAAAGGCTTAAGAGTGCAAGTTTTTCTGCCATTGTTATTTAACTAATTCAGTGCATATATCATGGTACCATTCTGTTTTCTTCTACAAAAGTTATGAGGCTAAGGAGAAAAATAAATTGAGTCTCCCAATCCTCTTTGTGTAGTTATTGCCACAAGAGGGGATAGAAAACTTTCAGCAGTGTAGTGAATAAAGCAGTACACCTCATTTCTTGTCACAATCACAGAACATTAGATGAGTTGGTTAGAGCATGGTGTTAGTAACACCAAGGTTTGTGGGGTCAATCTCCGTATGGATCATTCATTTAGGAGTTGGACTCAATGCTTCTTGTTGGTCCCTTCCCTCAGAATATTCTGTGAATCTGTAAATGTGTGTTTGCATTTATTCTGAACACCATAGGAATGCTTGGCAACAGTGTAGCTCAAATTCTGCTACATGGTGACCATGTAGCATGGTCACCAATGGCATTGAGCTAAATGCTTCACTGGGCCAGCAGAAAGGTCAGGAGCTCCTCACAGGACACTGGCTGGGCTGCCATCATTCTCTGGAGAAGGGCAGACTCAAAACAGTCTCAGGCTTGAGCATGATGGCCCAAGAGGTTGACAGTTCTGACATTAAACTTACTGTCTGGATATAGAATTACTGAAAGCACTTTTTTTTTTTTTTAAGCTGTAATGCAGAGCAGGAACAACTGGCCTTTAGATAAGGTGGGCTCAATTGCAGATGTAACAAAAAAGACCAAGGAGCAGCATGACCACCCAGCAAGGGAAGGAGCCTGTATCTGTACGCCTTCTGTGCAAGGTAAGAAATTAACTTAAATTGCCTGATCTCCTAGTTCAGGGATTCTGTTAGGCACTGAAGTGCATCAAGAGTTGCACTAAAGCATTGTGACCCTATGAAAAGCACCAAGAAGCTTAGGCATGGTGCTAGATTGCTGGCATTTGTCACTGTGGCTTTAAATTTCATACCAGCTTGGTGTTCTAATCATTAAATATACTTCCTGCATTTAAATAACTGTTAAGTATGTCCGCACAAGGTCTGCATTGTAGTAAAGTAGCAGCTCTAATCCAACTGAGGTTTAGAAGCTTAAAGACTATTCCAGAAACTATAAATTTCACAAAAATTAACTCCTAGAAATTTTTTGCAGCTCTCAGAGGTGCAGAATAGGGTTAGTAGTTAGCACATGCTGGCAACCTGGATCAAGTAATCCACACAACAAAACAAAACCACAACCTAATCTGCACAACAAACCATCAACCAACCTACCAACAAAACCCCCAAACCCACAAACAAATATAAAACCCCACAAAAATCATCTTTATCCTGTTTTTTTGTTCTATCTTGACTGAAAGTCTGAAAGTTGCCAATTCTAAATAAACAGATGCAACATATATATATTTTTTGGGTCATAATGCCATAAAGCTTTTGGGGAGACATACCAAGAAGAAAGGAAGGTACTTGAGAACACCTGTATTGTAGGTCCCTTCCAACTCAGAATACTCAGTGATTCTCTGATTAGCATGAGGTAAAATGAGGTATAATTACGTGGGAAAAGTGTAAGAATTGAGAGATTTTTTTGATCTGGACTTTTAAGCAATCAGTTATTGCAGCAGCTGTAATAGGGTTGTAGGCTGTCCCTGAATGGAAACCATGTTCACTTTTTGAGCTGCAACTCCTCTTTTAACAACCTTCACATGATAAACACCTTATTTTCTTTTGAATCTGTATCTTCCTGAGACTGAAGCATCTAGTTCAGGAACAATTCAGGCCTGCTGTCAACATCAGACTTTAGTTTTAAGTGAGAAAAGCTATCAACAAAGCTACAGCTCATTAGAGAAAGGTGAGTGACTCCCAGTGGCAATCAGAGAAACACCATCGTTACTCGTACTCTTCACCAGACCTGAATAAAAAAGAAAGCCACTCTTTTGGAAAGGAGTTGCTATACAACAGGTAAACCCCAAGAGGAAAGTGAGGGTGGGGGAATGGAGCAATGACAAGAATGTAATTTCAGTGTTGCTTTATGAAATGGAGGCATCAACTTTTCACAGGTTTTTTTTTAGACATCTGTCAGTCCAAGAGCAATACAGTTCATTCCTCCTCTGGAGCTGCGGAAAGCATCAAGGAACCCTGTGTGTGCAGTTTGGGCTTGTGTTGGTGTTTACAAATATAAAATTTCCTATCACTACAGTTTCTGCATTTAGTAAAAGGGCATGTTAATGAATCCACAAGTACAGTCCAGACAAATGCTACGGACTCATCTCTGAATTCAAACAAACAAACAGATGATGCACAGCAGGCTAACAAAATCTCAACCTAAATCTAAATCAACCAAATCTAAAGTCTACACCACTACTATGTTCAAATGTAGCCTTAACTATTTAGCAACTGTTTAAACACAAATGATTCTGGTCTTGCACTACAGAACATCATGTAAAGCAGGTGCTACTATTACTGCAGGCACCACACGGGACAGTGGGGCCCAGAGCAGAAACATGGTTCAGGAGCTGACTTCAGCATGCCAGACTTTTTTAAAGGCTATTCCAGTGGATCAAAGGGAAACCAAGAATGTTTATGAATGTCCAGCTTATAAAAGCAAAAGCAAGAGGACAACTTCTGTTTTGACTTTCCAGCTGAAGATTGAGAAGTCAGGTAAATGGGTTCTGGCAGGAATAGTTTCACTCCTGGCAGTTTCATACTAAGCTTTCAATAAAACATGCTGCTTTCTCAGTCTGCCTGACAGCAAAAAGAGAGATTTTTCAGTCAGCTAGAGCAAAAGCTAGAGCATAAGTGTTACACTAAGGATTGTGTTTTTGTCTCACAAAAACACAATCCTTAACGTAACACTTATGTGGTCTATGTTGTTATTTCCTCATCTGTCAATGTTGTGCTCATGTGTGTCTCCACATAATGATTATTGATCTCCAAGCACAATTACACTTGCTGTGGGAAAGTAAATGGGAAACATCAGCATCAGAGTGTAGTTTGAATCACAAAATACTCTTCTTTAGAACATCTTTATTCTCTCTATATAAAAAGAAATGTGTATATTACAAGATTTTAACATACTTTAACATGCAATACAAATATCTTGTATTTAAACACAGTTGTTTGAAAGCCTGGTTGTACAAATGGAAAAATATCTAAGTATGAACCGTAAGTAAAAAAACTTAATCCTGAATTCTGGTATAGACCAGTTACAACAGGTGGGTAGATGCTTCAGACAGCAGGTGCATTACACAAAAACTGCTGGTGAAAAGTTTTGCTGGATTTTTTTACTGAGATATTTTAAACTTCTTTTTAAACACTCTTCTACTTTCATGTTTTGGTGAATAATTGCACTTTGGAATAAAATTTTCACAAATCATCCTTGCACTGGTCGATTGCATCACCTTTGGCTGGAATATAATGGCATTCAGATGAAAGTACCTTTTCCTTATTTGCAAGGACAAGTTCTATAAACTACAGGTGGTGAAACAGTTCAGAAGGCAGAGCTGGAAAAATGGATCTTTATGGTCAAGCTGGTAGACAAGGGTGTTTTGTTTCTTTGAAGATGGGATGCTTTGAAGGTAGTTGTTAAAACACCCTTTCTGCAAACTTGCACAATTATATAAATAAAAATATTGCTCATTTTGACCAAGCTGTCCATCATGTGGTTGTGTAGCTCTATTAAAAATTAACCACTCAAGGTTCAAGAGTGCCATTTCACTTAACATACAGGTCTGTGCATGTAGATTTCTCTACCAAAACATTTTCCTGAGAGATCTTTTGCATAAGACCATATCAATCAGAAAGTTTCCAATACAGAACTGAATATGCTATATACTACAATTCTATTTTATGAAAACATAGTAATAAACTTCTGAAGTCAAACTGTTAACATATTAACCAGTTTCAGGCATGGCTTGAGTCCAGTGCTCTCAACTGTCATCCGCCAGTTGTTTTGGTAAACTAAAAAATATGAGAAAACAGTTAGTGCTTTTTAGGAAACTCAGCTTCCCCATGAATTTCCATTGCTGAAGATGATAACTTCCAAAACAGCACTTCTATACACTTCAGCCAACCAACAGGAATTTCAGAATAGGCAGAAGTCTTTCAACTTTTTAATCGAATCAGTTGTTTACATGGACAATATACCTCTGTTCAAATAAGCTGATTTCAGACAATTAAAAAAATCTGAAATCCAAGAAACTTCTTTTGCACAGGTGCAGGATTTGCCCCAAGGCATAAGAAGGCAAATGTTATTTAAAGGGCTGTAACAGTTTAAAAAGAAATGACCAGAGGGCAGAGCTCTCACCTTTCCAGGTACTCCTTGACATTGCTGTAGCCGTAGAACCTGGCCAGGTGGATGAGCATGCCGGTGGCACAGCGCCCGTCCCGCCGGCGGCAGTAGCTGCAGTTGCACACCCCGCGACACGGAGGACAGATCCAGGTCTGCAGGGGCGTGAACATGGGAGAAGGGGAAAAGCAAGATACGAAAAATGTTATACTGGCCATCCTGTTGCTCAGAGAAATGGGAGTATGGCTTCCCCACTATGGGATTGTTCAGAGCAAGGTTTTACAAGCCTCTATCAGCCAGCCAGCCAACCTTATTAACATTTTCCAAATTCTGCAGGATTAGAGAAATTATTAAGTGCTTGAATACTTCTCAGTCTGAAGCCTCAGGTTCTCTGATGTGCTCAGTACTGATTTTCAAAGAGACTGAAGTCATCTATAATGCCTAACATTCATTCCATGTTAGGCTGACTGTAGACAACTCCCTACAAAGAGATGGGTACTCACTGTGACAAGTTCCTTTGCCTCTCTCTGCCTGCTGGTACGGGACAATTCCTGGGACTGAATTAACCAGCTGGTACATGAAGTTAATTACCTCCAAGCTGCCCAGCAACTGCACATAAAAGCACAGGTGCTAACAGAGCAGCCACTGCCACACTGGGCTAGCACATCAGAGTTAGTACTACAGATCTGCTCTTGGCAAAAAAAAGTATGAACACCGTTACCATGAGCATGTTCTTAACATCACGGATTACTAACAAAACTCTATTCATTACACTTTCATTCCAGGTTCAAGAAAGATACTTACTGGATCAAGCAGAGCTGACTTCACATCTTCACCATATCGATTTCGAAGACAGGGTCCACAGAACTGCCCCCTGACTCCTCCACAGCCCTGCTTGCGACAGATTGTCTTTGTATCAGTTGTCTTCTGTCGACACTGGTGGCAAGTACTACCCTAAAGGTGGAATGGAAGAGAAAACCATTTGTATGAAGGACATCTTAAATGCCCATTGATGAGCTTTCCTAATAATAATAAGCACAAATTCAAACCAAACCAAAGTCAAATTAAACAATGAAGTGCGAATGTTACCATGATAAATAATGTAACGATGCTAGGAATTTTACAGAGACAGTGCCAAGTTTCAATTGGAAGTCTCAAATTACAAGAACCTGATAATCATAGTTCTGGTCCTTACTTCTCTCCAGGAAAAACCTAAAACTATTGAGAAAATGATCTTGTGACTCATCCCTGCCAATACTATGAAGCATGACACACATGGTAAGATGATCTTTATGATAATCAATAATAACCAAATCCAGTGAAAGCAAGGAAGGAGAAGCTCCATTAAAAACACTGGACACTACACAACCTGTACAGAAATGTCATTTCCAGAGGTACAAAGAACAGCAGGGATCACTGTTATTTAATGGTACAACACAACAATTTTATTAGTGAGAGAGAAAAAAAGGATGCCAGCTCTTACCAGTGGCAAGTAATAGCAAACTCGACTTAATAGCTCTGTGGCACAAAAACACTTTTCAGGGGCAAAAAGCCAGTGGGGAATATCAACCACCACAGCCAAGCCCAGAGAAGTCTGGCAAAGCTTTCAAAGCTGTACTTGTGCAACATAATAACGGTGAGCTGAACTCCCCAGAGCCTCAGGAAAGGACAGCTTTTAGCAAACACAGTGAAATAGTGAGAGACTTTTCATTTCAAGCACACAGACACACTGAAGAATATGACAACCACTTACGAGAACTTTGTCATAGATTTTGTCTCTACCAGTGATTGCAATGTTGTCCAAGTCCTCCTCAGTTATGTCTTCTACCGGGCGATGAGACGAGTACTTCAGTGTTCTCCTTCTTTTGCGTACTCCACAATCCCCCTGCTAAACAAACTCATCTCAATACCTTTTGTCTGATGTCATGAAGCCTCTGTCACCACAGTTGGTGACAAATTCCTTCATTTACAATGAGCATGCAGTCTACAGCTGGCAAACTACAGGCTCATGTACCTCAACAGGGAAGAGTTTCCAAATCACCCCTGCCTTTCTCTCCCTCTCCTCCATAATCTTTTCTCTACTACAATTTTTCTTCATTTGATTTCCTTTCCATAATTACTACTTCTATTTGCACAAATCCTTGACATGTTTTACTGCTAACTTTTCTTTGCATTCCCTCTCCTCCTCCACTGTAACTCTTCATACTCCATTTGTTCCCTCTCAAAATCAGGAACTGTGATCATCTGCTTTCCCATGCTTTCATCCTTCAATCTCCTTGTATGTTCTCTAGTTGCTTTCTCCAATGACAATCTCTAACGTCCTGCAAAAAAATACTACTGAAGTTTTAGGTTAGTCCTGCCAATCCCAGCCCTTTCTTATTAACCTGTTATTTGGAAGAAAGTACTCCACTTCACCATTAAGCAATTGTTTTTTCCATCTAAATAATCATTCTCTTTGACCCCTATTCATGAACAAATCTCATCAGAGTCTTAGCCTTCCCCATACCTCTCTCTGAAGACCTCATTTGTCCTTCACTATAGATCAGTTCTGTTCTGTCCAAAACAGTCATTTACCAGCTCAGGTTCTCATTTGGTGCTACTCCTCTTCTTCTAATAGCCAAGTTCCCTCTATAATGCTTTAACTATGTCCAGCACTTGTTCCTACAAGCAGAACTGGGATCCAGCCTGTAAGGATTCAGACTTAAATGGTCTTCCCCATAAGGGCTACACAGAAAATACAAGCAAGACAAATGACCACCATAGGCTAGAGGAGGAAAAAACCGTATTTTTAAAAATAGGAAAGAGTAAAACCTGCAACTTTTCAATTACTAGCCTGTACATTAACAGTTTGCTGGTGTAGATTCCCTTAATTCATTCTCAGTTCAGCCATATAACTCACATCTTCCTTCTGCTATTTCCAGAGAAGGATTTTTGCCTTTTTTTTCCTGTCTGGTAACAGAGAAGATCTGCTTTGCCACCTCCACCACCCCACTGCCTTGCCACTCCGAGGTTTTGTACATTATGGGCTCTAGTAATTTTCAGATGAAGAATTAATATCAGACCAGAAGTTAACTGTCTTGTTATGCCTGAGTAACACTGGTCACAAACAGAGCCCACTTAACAGGTGAAAGATGAGACAAGACAGGCCTGGAAATAACTTCTGTAGCTAATCCCAACCAAAGACTTTCAATAACTTTGTGTAGGATGTCATGTCTGATCTAAGTGCTGGCCAACAATTTAAATGTTTCCTAGTTCCTGACTACTGGGGATATCAAAATCTGGCAAATACCACACTGAGTCTCTTCAGGAGGTTTTGTTGCCTGTAGCTACCGATGTGTTCTGCAAGTCTGATAGCTGACACAGTAAATTTTTCCAAGGCAAAATTTTCTGGTGGACGAGCAGTTCTGGTTGGGTTCATTCGGCGCGTTATCTGGCCTTCAGAGAATGTCCTCCTTGGGGTTTTCTTCTTCTTCTACAAGAGAAAAAAAATTCCAGTAACTGTCTTTTCAGTTATGTTTGTAGTGTTAAACACTAGAAACAACCTGAAAATGTCTGTACCACACTTGTACTATCATGAATTGATCTACTGTTCTCCTACTCCTTATTTATTAAGCCAAACCCCACCACCAAATACACTTCCTACACACTATACCTTTTTGCTACTTTTAAAAATTACACCTTAACGTTACATTCCGTTCCAATTAACATCACAGAACTATACCAAAATTTAACATGTGGCACATTAGGGTGGTGGAAGCTAGTTTTCACTGCTCTTTGGTAGCTAAATATTCTGATTTTCCCACAATCTGAATACACAACTGAGGAATATTGAGGAAGAGACAGTCTGAGGAACAAGCTGAATTCTTGTTAATTTTCTTTTAAATTTTTTAAGCTGAAAAGGTATTAAGAAGTTGCTTCATTTAGTTCAAGATTCCAAATTTTGGAGATTCTTGGGAGGTGCTCTTCACACTGTCACACCTCCCAATTAGTGTGACTGAATTGATGAAACAGAAGTCCTGCATGGACATCTACCAAAGACATGGCCCTTCAAGGTTTCCTCAGATCTTTCCAATTTATAATATACTGGAAAGATGCTACTCTACAGAGAAAGAAGGGTTGACGCTCCTCTGGTTAAAGCTGAGAAAAGTAAATAAAAATAACTACTGTATCATTTCTGTTTGTGTTGAATGGTTCAATTTCATGAGCATAGCTCTATTGGGAAGCATGGGTTTTAGAAGAAAAGCCTACAAGAGGGAAATTAACAGAATCTAAACCCAAAGGAAAGCATGTACTCTTCCTTATTCCCACATACACAGACATTTGTCTAAGACCTCACAAAGTATTTCTGGAGCAAAAATGTAGCATCTCATCTTGGTCTTTGTTTTTCTACATAAAATATCTTATAAAATTCCATTTCCTCATGTAATCTCTGGCACTTTGCAAACCATAGCAAATTTATACAAATGAAGTGACCAAACCCAAAGGAAACCAGAAGAAAGTTTTGCTGAAAGTTTCTAATGAAACACTTTAAGTCTAACATCTAAGTCTAACAAAAATTACTGTCACCACCAACCAGTACTGGGAACTTACTGAAGAAGTCGAGGAGGGCATTTTCACTGGGAACAGGTCCGGTACGGAATTCAGTTCTGCCAGCAGCTGGGCAAGCTGGAATCAAGTGATGTCACATTGAAAACTCACTGCAACTTACAAAACAAGCAACACCACCTACCATCCATTCTTCACATGCACTTCAAATTACAGACAAACATGTGCAAGGAACCTTTATGGAAGCACTTAAATAAAGTGGGGCTCATAAAAGGGGTTTATTTACTCTGCCATGAGCAAAAACTCTGCCAAGGGTATTAACTTTATAGCTCCCACTGATTCTTACTGGGAATTAGAGCTAGCCAGATTTACATAGTATCTTGTCAAAACAGCACCAAAGGAGTGCATTACAACATGGTAATGACTGATAACAAGAAATTAAGTTCATATGATAGGAGGGAGAAAAAAAAAGACAGGGTGCCAGAAGACAGTAAGATGTTCCTCAGTGAGCTTTTACTGACTGCAGATACATCTGTGCTCTTTGCCAGAGAACTCAGCATCCCCTTAAGCAGTGCAGACACTGGGTACACTCTCATTACGAAGCTAGAGAGCAACTGAGCCCCACTGGCAGTTCCCCCAATGTATGCATGTTCTGATCATGTACAGCATCAGAAGTACTTCAGCGAGATGATGACTTCTTGCACCGTGCACAAGATGTCTTTCTTGGAAGTACATTTCCACAGAAGCAGTGGCTGATAGGCAGTAAAAAAGCACTGACCTGTTCTGGAATTCCAGAATGAGGCTAACTTCTGAAAAGCCACTGGTAGTGGGGATGAGCCAAGCTGTTAGCTCTCTGAGATTGCCACAGCCATCAAGAGATTAAAAGCTGAATACAGTATTTCTCAGTAAGTACTTCAGTGTGGCATTTATTAAGAGCTATTTAATGTCATTACAGTACTGCTCCTAGGATGCCAGTGAATTTCACAGTGGTTGAAGTGCAAGAGTGGAAGGGGAGAAGGACCAAGGAGCAGAAAGACCAACATAATAGCAGTGGGAACACATGACAGGTTAGAAGTACAGGTAGAAAGCTGAAGCAAGTTTTTACACAGGAGCTGCAGGCCCACACCAAGAGGTACTGCTTGAGCTCCAAGACTGCTTGGAAGCTGCAACTTTCCCTGAAACACTAATCACTGAACATCAGTTTGGATTACATAGCAGCATGATAATTAAAGAGAGCTGGTGGCATGTTGGATAATAGAGGAAAAAACATTAGTAAATGATCAGTTGCTCTTTTCCACACCTACACACACATACACACGCGTTCAGCAGTTATATAGTAAAGCAATACTGTAAAAATCACATCCCACACAGCTGAAAAATTACACTTATCATCCTCAGCAGTTTTTTGCTGGCTTTTTAATCAGTAACTGCAGGAGATCTGTCACACACAAACAAAAAGTAGAAACGCTATTGTGCAAACAGCACCATAAACCACCTAAAATGACCAGCTGGTTTTCTGACATGTTCTGAAGGCTGCAAAACTTGGTCATTTATAACTTTGTTCATATCCACATTAAAAATTCTTAGTTCTACTCTGGTTTTAAACTTGACCAGGCTAGTCCCTACTTGAGGTTATTTTAGGGTTAAATGTCTAAGTGCTGAGAGTCCTCCAGGGTTTTCCAAGGTAGAAAAATTCACCGTAAGATTTTCCCAAAGTTCCAGCACAGCACCAGCAGGGACCCTAAACTTCAAGTATGCTAAAGTAATTGGATGTAAATGTCAGAGAACAAAACACTGCTCTTAAATCTTACCATGGCTTTATTTTCTTTAATATTTATGGCTCTCTTAAGCAGTGCATTGGAACTTTCCTCCTGTGTTTCTTCTTCAGAGTCTGAAGCAGAGCCCTCTACTTCGTCTGACCGCTTGAGAGGTGTGAGGGATTCACTGTCCTTTACAGGTAAATCAGACAAAGCCTGTTCAGGCACTTTTTTCTCAGATGACTTCCTGGTGGGAAACTGTAAAGCAACACAAAGGCCAAAGCTTCTTCTCTTGGGGGAAACCTTCGTCTTCATCTCTTCCTCCTCTTCTTTCTCATTACCCAACAAATTATCATGTTCTTCATCACTCAAGTCTGACTCCACCATCTAGAGGTAAGAAAAATCCCATGTTACATTACTGGTTCTGATACAAGAGTTAATTTTTAAATCACTAGTTCTAGACAGCAGTCTTTCCACCCGAAGGCTGGAAATTTAGGTGAATTTATTCACTATAAATTAACATCTTTTTACAAGTTCACAGCACTCAACTTCTGCCTGCACAGAGATCAACAAAACATCTACATATTAGTATTGTCTGGGATACAGACATGGCTGCCTCCAGAGGAACAATCTTGCCCAGTACAATCTACAAGCAGTGGAAGTAGTTCTCATTTCTAATATGTGATGCTACATTAAATAAAACATTCTTTAGGACAACGTATTTTAATTCAGCATGAAAAAAGAGCATCATAGTGTATCAGAAAAATTCCTACAAGAACATGAAGTTCACACAGAAGAGACAGAAAAAAAAAAAGAAGTCAACATATACATTCACATGTAGGTGTGACTGCCTTTACCAGAACTTCTTTCTTGTTCACCTGCACCTCGTTTGAAGCGAAGCCCTCAAACACTTCCGTTTCAGAGTCAGTGTCCTCAGTGAAAATCCTCCGCTGCTCTTCAGTGAGGTATCTGGACTGAAACCGGAGCCCCTGCAAAAACACCACTCAGCAGCTGTGACAGGCACTCGGATATAGAGCATTCACACAGCCACAATAAACAGGTCTGGAGGGTTAAGACATGCCAACTGAACAGCATACTGTGAAAGCACTTTGCAGGCAAAGCCTATCAAAAGAAACAAACAACAAGAAGACAACATTCAGTTTCAATATTGAGTTGTTTTAACTTTGCAAGATTTTTTTTCTTCATTCTGAGGACAGGGCTTTAACTGAGCTACTTATATTGGGGAAAACTTTCTCCTTCACTTCTTTCCTTCTGCATTACTACCCAATAAAAATAAACTATCAGTTTTCTTGTATGTAAATAATCATGTTGTTTTACGTATTCTGTTTTATGTATTTTCTTCAACAGGCCTTGAATAGAAGAAAATACAAATGAGAGATGGGGTCTGCTCCTCATGCTGTTACACCACCACTGAACTGACTGATGCCAACACAAATGATCAGAGCTTTGAACAGCCTGACTAATATCCATCCCTCCACCTTTCAAGTTCTCAACTCGCTGGTTTTTTGGTGCAGTTTATCATTCACATGGTCTAGGATAGACATCTCCTCAATTTCAGCCTATAGACCAGGAAGTAAAAACATCTCATTAAAACATTCCTCATGGTATGTACATCACATCCCAATTAAACACAAGGCTTTTACTAAACAGAAATGTATTTCCATACTTCCAACAAGAACTAGTAGAAAACCATTTAATCAATCTGTTCCTGCTAATCTCTTGAGAGACTTGTTCCTGGTAGTAACATAGTCCATGTTCACATCACACCTGCCTCTTGAAAGTCAGCAACATACAAGCTTGTTTCCCCGATTTTCCTCTGTTACTTCTTCCTCCCACACAAGAAACAAAAATTACCTTTAATACAATGCATTTGCTAAATATCTTTATTCTTCCTTTAAATTCTCTCCCTTCCCTGACTTTAATTACCCATTTTTTTATTTTAAGATAATATCTGGTGAAAAAAGATACAATAGACGAGTGGAAAAACTTAGAGGGGAATGGGAGGGGGGTGCCACTGCATATGCTGTTTCTTTACACTTAAACATCTACAAATTATTATGGGTAATTGTAATGAGTTTTCTCTAAGGAAAATTACTTTATTCTTTTGTTGATAGCTGCAGCGCAGCTGCTTGAGAAAGGAACAAACACAATAGGGAAGTTACTTTAAAGTTAAATTGCATTTCTTGGAGGAAACTTAAGTTTTTATGTATTCTGTGTTTTTATGAAATTCCACAATGAAGGTTGATGGGGGAAATATGCTATTTGTTAACTAAAGTAACTAAAAATAACACACCTACAGCTATGCTGTTCATCTATGAAGAACAGTCTACACCAGGTAAAATACACACCAGGGATAGCTATTGTGGGAGAAATTGTGGGAACTCGGGAGAAGCACAGAGATTATCAGAGCAGGACTGCAGAAAGCCCTGAGGAAAAGCAGGCAAACAGAGGTCACTACTTGCTAACTCATTTGCACCTCAGCATCCAAGGGAACACCTGATGCACAAATAGCCCATTTGTCACCCCAGCAGGGCAGCTACTACCTTGCATCCTTTCTCAAGTACTGCTGAATTTTTCTGAATTTCCCATCATTTTCCCCTTTGCACCAAAACCCTTTTGTTTCCTGCACAAGTACCAATGGCCTGTTGCTGCCATAGTGGTGTTTGCCATCATGAACACAGGATGATGCTCACTGATGCAGGGCCCAGATGTGCAAGGACTGCAGATTAAGCTGCAGTTGGATGGAACTCAGGGTATTTTTATTGTACCATATAGTGGTAAAGAAATTAAATTCAATACTGATCGAGATTTAAAATAATTCTCATCCCAAGGGAAACACAGGAATAATAAGGAAGGTTGCAGTGCCAGCTGTAAATCTGGAACAAGTCTCACTGGCATTCTCAGCAATGCATATTAAACTAACTACCTATCTCTTCCACAGCATTTTTCATCAGAGGATTTTAAAATGCTTGGCAGAAAAGATCATTATCATAAACTCTATGTCACAAGTTGGGAAATCAAGGGAGGGAAAAGTACGGTCAGGTGTCTGCAGCTCCCAAGTAGGCAGAAGCAGAAGCTCCTACACAAGGTTTCCCCTCCACCACCAATACCTCTCCCCACTGACCCTTCTTGAAGCCCCCCAAAAAAACACAAATGCAAGAGCAAGCTACCTACTCGTTTTCTGAAGTTGCCAGTACTGTTGTCTAGCAACTAGATTACAAACCAACTTAGAGCCCAGTACATTTAATTACATCTTAGACACCATCTTTCTCCACAGCACTGACTGTGGCTATACCCTCAAAAGGTTTCTGCACTCTCCTGGGGTCACTTGCCTATAAAGGCTAAGAAACAGAACATACTTGTAACAAGCCTTATTCTGTGTCTTTCTTTGGCTAACACTAATCATCCCCCTTGTCATCAGCACCTCTTAACCAGGTGCTGGCCTGATGGACTAGGAAAATAAAATAAAAAAAAATTAAATTATCTCATTAATGAAACAGAGGACCTTTGCAAGAGCACAAATGACAAAGGTAACTTATAACATTAGCCCATGGCTATCAAGCATGTAATTGTAGTTTTCCAAAAGACTAACAACTAATTTTTTTGCACCCAAGACAGCACACCAGTTCTATTCTTTTCTTGTGCAGCTGGTATCTCCAGCTACCGGAGACGAAAAAATATCAAATCATTGTGCTGATCCAAGCCACTTCATCAAGAGAGCAAATGACCAGCAGATTGTATTACTGCAGCAGGAGCTGATGCTTTCTCTGGATTACCACTATTAAAACACAATTTTGATGCAAAGACAGCGTGGAGATATTTCTGGAAGAAATACTTTGAAGCCTACGTACTCACAAATGCCCATCCAATATCATGTATTTTCACTTACATATCCTGCAACATCTTTCCAGGATGGTAATTCCCTTTTTCCTGTTTGCTTATTCTTAACAGAATAAGCAAATTAAGCAATTCTATTTCACTTAAACTCCTCTTCCAATGAAACACATTTTCTTTTTTATATTATGAAGGAGTTTTCAAAAGCAACCACTAAACCCTAAATACTAAGTTTGTTTACATTTAAGTTTAATATGGGCACTGCAAATTACAGATTAAGGTGAGAGTTATAATTCACACAGTTTTGACACAGGCTCAGAGTATTACTGCATCCCGAGAGCATAACTGGACTATGGAAATCTGTTCCTACCTCTTTTCCAGACTCCACAGATTCAGAACTAGCACAGTTGTCCTCTGACAAGAAGCTCTGTTTGGAAGCATCATCTTGGAATCCTGGAAAATCTTCACTGTCACTGGGGGTATTATAAATGTTGGCCACATCCTTGGGTACCTGTTTCTGATTCAAAACAAAGCAGAAAATATGAGTCACACACACAAACTTAACAGGAAAACTCAAATTCGCAACCATACAATTTATTTTTATATTACTATGCAAGCACAAGTCTGTAGCACAAAATATGCTATGTGTAAATTGTACCTTATTTAGCTAAACTCTGGGAAAATTCTGTATAGACTGTTTTAATCCCTGAATACAAGCTCGGGATCTGGGATTAGGGAGGGGATGTAATACACAGGGTATTCACCTCCACAGGAAAGTACTTCAGAGACATAAAAAAATACATGTGTGCCTCATCTTCACAAGCAGGAGCTCAGGGCGCCCTTACCCAAGGGGAAACCCACCACCCCTCCTGCTCTTCCAGAGCAATGATGGCTCAGAGGTGAGGAACACAACATTACACAGGCTAAAGTACAAAGAAACCTGACCTTTAGATCCCACAGTGCCATTATGGATTTTAGCAGATACTTAGCTAACTCCAAAAACGAAACCAATGAAACTCGTTCTCCTTGGTCAGTACTGTCACAGAGCTTCTCCTGTGACACTTACTAAGAGAGTGAAAATGTGCTAACCAAGAACATTTCTCCTTTGCTAGAAGCCCATTATGTGTCCCACCAGGAAAGGGGGAAGCATAGCCACGGACAGGCAGCAGCCTTCCTGAGGTGACCAAGGTCACAGCTTCAGAGTTCGAGAAGTCCAGTCCCAGCCTAGGAGACTTCTAACACACCTCCAACCATTCCACTGGGCCATATACTTCACAGCAAACACTTTGAATAAGGCTCTGCACGTGCCAGGATAGTAAGAAAGCCTTCAGACAGTTCCCATGTGGGCTGCTTTAGGATCTGGTGGGTGTAAGGATGGGATGAACAGATCAAGCCTTAAAAAACAAGGAAGAAGGCATTTTGCCAAGTTTCAGAACACATTTTCACACATCCAAGTATCATCGGCAAAACCATTCTGCTAGTTGCACAAATGCTCTGGGAGACCCGTGTCTGCATTCCTCTCCAGCATCCAGACACTCGTCCCCTGCATCCCCCAGACCGCACATACACCTCACACACACCACTCTGACTTGAAACAAGCCTCTCTGCTGTTTGCTAAAGCCACACTCTCATTAACTATCAGGAACATGAGATCAATGACCGCCTGGTCAGAGGCCAATTCTTCATCTCAAAGTGCTGTTTTCCAGCCCTGAACATTCACCAGTACGTCTCAGAGGTGAGGTTCAGAACCGAGAGCAGACTGCCCTTTTCCACTGTCACAGAAAACCAAGGCTGCTCATACAGGGCATATATAATGATGATTTTTTTTTTTTTCCTAAGCTTACTTGTGGCAAGGCAAGTGATCCAAAGGAGGCTCATTCTCCAAAAGTAATGTAGCTGCAAAAGTTCCACTTCCATTAAAACAGCGAGCAGTACCTTCACCAAAGCATCACTCTCTGAAATAAGCTACAGTAAAGGGTGAACATGAGCCTAATTTTATTCTTGTTCTGATCTTATAAAGCTGATGTAGCCTGATGCAAAACCAACTTACTGTTGCTGGAGCAAGAGTAGAATTCACCTCTGAAAAACTGACCCTCTTAGGCCTATAATGGCATGATCCAAAGCACAGTTGCTAAAGTCATGCTGTCCATGTCCAAACCCCTTTGGATATTCCCTTACTCCCACATCCTACAGTGAACATCCACAATCCACTTCCATTGCTGTGACAGAATTCACTCAGTACAGAGCAGTGCTAAAAATGAAGAATTGTGCATTATAATGGAAAAACATACAAGGAGCTGAGAGTCTCACTGCTACGAATAAATTGCTTCCAGAAGCCACAGCATTAGTTCTTGTGCTAATATACAGCTGAGTTAGCCACTGCTGTGATTACTGTATGCCTGATTTGCTCTTCTTCACGTATTGCTTCGGCACCTGCACCAAAGGAGTCATTTATGAGGCTGTAATTACTGATTTTGAACAAGAAGAAAAAAATTCTTTCCCAGTAGGAGACTTAATTTTTTTGCATTCCCAAATTCTACAGTACTGGTACTGATTTAAGTAACTTACTGTAGAGCTCCAAGGATTTTGAGTTTGTGACTTGCCCCCCATAGCCTGATTACAAAGAATCTCAATTTGGTCACTGATGAGTCCCCATTTTACCAGAAGGGCTTACATAATAGACCACAATGGACTGCTGAAATGCTGCAGGTGTGAGAAATACTGTCTTTTAAATATAACTCTTAAAAAGGCTAAATACCTTTTAAGAACCTTTAAAGTCTAGTAAAAGCTGGAAATAATTCACAGCTGCTGAAAAAGTCAGTGTTATTTGTTAGGAAGTTTTATATCTATTGAACTAATTTATTTTTGCACATAAAACACACTTAGTTGTTTAAAATCCCTACGAGGTACTATTCAAAAGCATCAGCAAACCTTCCCCACTACAGATGGCACACAATCCAACAACTGCCAGAATAACAAATCCTATGTTTTTGCAGAACTAGTCCAAAGCTCAAGACATTCACATCTCTCAGGTTTTCCTTCTCTAAGTTAGACAAAATACCACCAGTATACCGAGAGCATACTTGGATGTGTTGGGCTGCATGGAGATCCTGCTCCCACAGAACCAGGGTGAGTAGCTCGCATGTGCCTGTGGAGGCTGGCATGTCTGTCACCAAGGGCAGAGAGTGACAGAGGCTGGTAGGATTGTCAAAACTGTTTCAGTCACATCAACTATTGAAAAGTAAAGAACCTAAGGTCCCCAGCAGTCACAAGAACATTTTTCCAAGCACAAGAACATTTTCCAAGCACCCATGAATTCCACCTTGTTAGTCAAGAAAAAAAAACGCCCAAGGTGAGCTGTTTTGCTATTCACATCAACAGGAAGAATTTTCATTCATTTCATTCAGAAAAACCAACTTTTTTTCCTGACACCAAAGCCAGAAAAGATTCAACTTGCCCTGTAGGCTGTGAGAACACTTGCCTGCATGCAAACCTGTGGATTTGGTGGGAAGCAAGTTATTTCTACACCACTTACTACAATGTTTAATTTTAAGAGTTATTTACACACATCACTTTCCCTGCCAATTGTCACACAAGCTCATTCTTCTCTGTATCAGGAGAACCTACAGCATGAGAAGCAGGGCTAGATGTAGTTCTCTATTTTTGCTACCACCATGGGGAAAAAAAACCAATTGGGCTGTGTTCCCTTAATTCAATTTAGCACAATATATGGGTATTCCTACTCAAAGCAGAGGACAGACAAGTTCAGGGACGTTCAAACTCAGTCAGACTGAAATTACCAAAATTTAATCCCAAGCAGATACTCACACAAACCAAACCTGTGCAAAGTCACACCTTCAGCACATGCTGGAAAGCCTCTTGACTTGTCCCAGCCTAAGGCACACCACCCAAGGGCACTGCATTTGGCTCGTACCTCAGAGGAACAACCGAACAGGGAAGCACTCCAAGGCTGACAATTGTGGGCAGCGCTACAAGAATAGAAAGGCCCAGCCAGAATGTCAATAGGTGCCAGACCAATAAACCAGAACTATTCAGAAGTCAAGATCCTGTTTTTTCCACTCTAACAGCACTCTAAAAGCTTAGTTTTAAGCATCATACAAATGTGTGAAAGACATGGAAAGCACAGATACAAAACCCCCAACAGCAGTGCTAAAGAATTACACAGACTGGATGCACAGTCAAAAAGACTGTTAAGCACACAATCAGCTCAAGACTCATGGGCATCAACAAAATCTAGGAAGGCAAGGAAGATCCTAGATGACCTCTGGAATTTCTCAACATCACTTAGCACAAGAAGCTGAAATCCTCTGGATAGTGAAGTGTATTCCTGCCATAAGCGGCAGGAGATGAAAAGGCATGTGAGTGCTCTGAAAGAAGAAGGAACTGATAGAACGAGCAGTCATCACCCACTTTTATGATCTTTGCAGGAATTATTTGATTCTAAAGTAAAGATGGATTATGCCTGAGCCTTTAATCCGTCTCAGCAACAACTCCTCGGACTTTGAGGGTGCTCCCTCAAAAGGTTCTGGGAATTTTCACACCAGTAAACCCATTGCTCCATGAAATTTTGGTAAATTTTGCTGTTTTCAGAACAGCCAGCCGAACATGGTGTCTATATTGCCTTATGTGGACTGATAATAAGCTAATGTCCATAAAGCTACTTTATCCTAAAATAATGAATGCCCAAGTGTCATAATCACACAGCAAATAATTTAAAATGTCACCTTCCACAGGCAGTACCTTCCTGGAAACTATTTCCTACTCTTCAAAAATTCTGGCAGTACTGAGAGTATCAGCATGCCAACACATGAACATAATCCAAACACTACCAACTGCTACTATTTCTTACTTTGTACCATCTAATCTCTCACCAATCCTAACAGCTGTAACAACTATTTCTGAATTAACTCTGCATAATTCAAGAGCATCCCATGGTGATGCCTAATTACTGTCCAAGTCCTGGTATTCCAAGGAAAACAATTTTGTACAACACTGCGATGCATCCTCACTTTGTGCCTGGACGGCTCAAGTCCAGGACTTGAGTTCAGGCCTTGTGGGTGCAAACACTTAGTCACAGCCAGTGTCCCTTTAACAAGCTCTGTGTACTGAAACTGCTGCGCCAGGACCTAGTAAATCAGACCCTGGGACAGGAAATGGAACTGCAGGTCTTGAGATTCAAAACAGTTTTGTACTGCTGAAGTCTTCAGCAATTGCTTTTAAATGGGGGCATGTACTCACAAGCCAATCTGCCCGTCAGCAGTGACGGACGATGACTTCAGAGGCAAAGAGACCTTCGCTACCACATCCTTCTGGCCCAGCCAGGACTGAACTCACTGCTCACCAATGTATCACAAAGACAAGGCAGAGCCAGCAGAAGGTTGTACTCAGACAAAAATAAACTCCCATGAGAAACAGGAAAGCACCAAGAACAGACACTGTCCTTCTGTCCTTTGCTGAGCCTTGAAAGAAACATGATGCACGGACTTCAGCTGTGTACCAGAAAGGGAACTAGTAGACAGTAACAGTCTTGTGTTACAGAAACAGAGGTGAGAACCGAGTGCCATTTGTGTCCATAGTCAAACAAGGTTATCCCGAACTGTTTTATAGTGCCCTCATCTTCACACTGCCAGTGGAGGGCCTGAGGTCATACAGAGGTGGAAGGTCTTTGCGAGGACAGAGGTTCTAATAAATAAATGAAAACCCCTGTAAAGCTCTAACTTTCCATCAGCAAGAGTTGAATGAGATGCTGAACTTCTCCTTGCTCCTTCCCACCACCTGGGCAGCTCACCACGACTTAAAGAAAATCAATTTAGACTACATATAAGGAGAATGGTAAAACACTAGAACAGGTTGTCTAGAGAGCTGGTAGATGCTCCACCCCTGGAAACATTCAAGGTCAGGTTGGATGGGGCTCTGAGCAATCTGATTTAGTTTAAGATGGCAACACTCCTTCAAGGAGGTTGACTAGATGAGGTCCCTTCCAATCCGAAGTACTCTATGATTCTATAGCAATACCACCTCCCGAGATCTGAACCACACAATCAGCCTGATGCACCCAAGCATGCGGCACCAGGCTTGGACCAGACCACTGCCGACAGAAGCATGCCTCTCAGGAGACTCAAATATGTGCCAGCGTTGGCATCGCGGCGTTCCAAAAGAAAAAAAAAAGGCAAAAAAAAAAAATAAATGTA